GCGCACACACGTTATCTCGGGAGGAGGTATGCAGGTTCAGCAAGAAGTTGTGGCATCATGGCGCTGCAAGCATGAGCCTGTCCCCTGGTGACCCAAAGACACGAGAGTCTCTCACACCACCAGTCGCGAGTGTTTGGAAGCCCCAGGCACCAGGCTGTGAGACACCAGGCTTGCTGCTCAAGAGATTTGTATGGAACATGTGTTGGTCAGGCTCACTGTGTCTGTGATCGGCGCCGAGCACTACTCGCACGCGCGGTCGCTGAGTTCGGGCTTCAGGCAAGCCGCTTTGATGGTGTGTGTTTCCCGATCACCGTCAATACTATGGGTTCATTTACAACCGCTGGATGCAGATCGGATGTACCCTCAACTTTGGGGCGAGGCGCCCCCCGGCCCAACCCTTAGCAGAGTGCAGGAGTGTGCCGCAGCCCTCGGCCTACCATTGCACCCACCATGTACACGATACAGCAGTACCCCCTCCCCCGCAGCTGATGCTACAACGTCACATCCCATGAGCCTGGATGGCTCCAGGAGCGGGTGACCGCGGGATCGTGTCAAAATCCTACTTTGCCCCCAAACGGGTCAGCCCGTGGTCTTTGGCACCTGCCACACTGGCACATACTCCGCCAGCCGGTCCCACGCCCCCTCGCCCACCACGCTGACCTGAATCTCGCCCGCCCCGCTACCCCCACTAGACGCGCGCCCCGTGAGGAAGCCTGGGCCCCTGTCTCCTGCTGGTGGCTGCATTTCTCGGCAGCCCTGTTGCTGTTGCTGCTGCTGCTGCTGCTGCTGTTGTTCCTGCTGCTGTTGTTGCTGCTGCTGTTGTTGCTGCTGCTGTTGTTCCTGCTGCTGCTGCTGCTGCTGCTGCTGCTGCTGCTGCTGCTGCTGCTGCTGCTGCTGTGGCTGTTGCCCGGCCTGCAGCTCCTCTTGGCCTGTATAGATGACTGGGCTGTACGCCTCATGCCTGCTGTAGTCAGGGCTGCCCTGGGCCTGCCAGCCCTGCGCCCAGCTCCAGCCGCCGCCGGAAGCCTGCCTTTCAGGGCCGGGTGTGGGTGTTGCTGCTAGAGGAGAGCTGCAGCCTGGCTCACCAAGCAGCTGCTGCTGCTGCTGCTGCTGCTGCTGCTGCTGCTGCTGCTGCTGCTGCCGGTGGTGGTCAGGGGACCTTGGTGACAATTCAGGCTGCGCCTGCGGCAGCAGGAGGCTCAGCTGCTGGTGGTCCACATAATGCGGCTCGACGTGCGCCAGCACCTGCAGATACCGCTCTTGCTGCTCATGCTGCTGCTGCTGCTGCTGCTGCTGCTGCTGCTGCTGCGATGGGTCGAAAGAAGGTGCCGCAGCAGATGTCTCCGCAGGGAGGCGCCCAACCAAGGCCAGTGGTGCCTGCTCAGCTGCAGGCGCGAGGCCGAATGCATGGGGCCCGTCCGGCGGAGGCGTGGCGCCGCGCGCTGGCGCAGGTGCAGGCGCTGCCAGCCAGGGCCGCGGCGGCGGCATAAACGGCGCCTGTGCCAGCGTCGAGGACACAGGTGCTAGCGCAGGTGCAGTCGCCGTCGACCAGTGATGCTGCTGCTGCTGCTGCTGCTGCTGCTGCTGCTGCTGCTGCTGCTGCTGCTGCTGCAACGGCGGCGGCTGCGGCTGCGGCGGCTGCGGCGGCGCCGGCTGTGGCGGCCGCTGCTGCTGCGGCTGCTGCAGTTCGCGTGGTGAAACGGGGAAGGCCTGGGGTGGCAAGGTGCACCCTGCCGTCGATAGAGGGGCATATGGCACAAAGCCAGCCGCAGCCTTGAGGGCCCACTGCGGCCCAGGCGGCGGCGGCGGCGGCGGCGGCGCGGACACGACCGACCCAGGTGGCTGCTGCCAGGCAGGCACCGGCTGTACCCCTGAGCCAAGCGGCAGCTGTGGCTCCTCAGGCCATGAGGGGTGCCGCAGAGGCGGCTGCTGCCCATACAGCTCCGGCACCACCCCTGATGGCGGTGCAGAGGCCGTCCGCACCACCAGAAGCGGAGCGCCGCCATAGGGGCCCGTCGGCGGGTGCGGCGGGGCCTCCCCCATCGCGCAGCCATTGGCAGCGAATGGTGCGCTGGTGTAGGTGCCACCTTGCAGGCAGCCGCCACCCCCCCTGATGGGGTGAGGTGCACCGAAGCCTGCATCAACGTATGGGGCCCCGTCGCCGCCAAAGCCGCTGGCCTGAGGCGCTTCAACACAAGCGGCCACTGGGGCCATGCTGTAGCGGCCGCTGTAGCCATAGCCGCTGCTGCCGACGGCAGTCAGGCTGCCGCTGCCACTGCCGTCGCTGGCAATGGCGGACGCAAGCGACTGCCCGGCCTGCATTCAGCCGATGGGGACGTGAGCGAGGGGGTTTGAACGCGCCAATGGCGGACAAACGTGTGCGCGACGAGGTGTGCATGCAGCGCGACAGATAGCAAACGCCTGGCTTGGGCGCACAGGGCTGCACAGAAAAGATGAGGGAGAGCATATGTTTTGCAGCAGGTGCAGCAGCAGTACAGGCTCCAGCCAAATCCTCCCGATGAATCCTCGCAGTCATTCCCCGCACGCCTGCCACCACCACGCCAAGCAGGCATCGCCACGCACCTGCCGCAGGTGCGCGCCTGCAAGCGGCATGCCGCCGGCGCCGACAAATTTCGGCGCCGCCGCTGCGGCGGGCGGCGGCGCAACGACAGGGTACTCAATCGGTCTGAACGGCGCGAAAGCTTTGGACTGCATTTTGGGGTCCTCAAATGGGCTCAAGTCCGACCGCCGCCGCTTTGCACCAACGTTTCCGCCGTGTGCCGGCCCGTCCCCCGCGGCGAATGCCTCGCCGCCGCAGCCATCTGGCCGCTGCGCGCCGCGGCCTGTGGAACAGCTGCCCCCACCATGCCCGCGGCTGCCATGGGTGGCTGTCCTCGGGTGACCGGCGCCCGTCGCAGTCCAGGAGGCCCCCCGCTTGTCTTCAAACACCACGGGCATTGCCGCCGCGCTGGCAGCCGAGTCAACTTGGGATGCAGCTTCCACATGGTCAGCCGCCTGCTGCTCCCCCTCCAGCTGCTGCTGCTGCTGCTGCGTGGGTAAAGGCGTCGGGGCGGGCCCGTGCAGGCCGACCAGCCGCGACGGGACCACCTGCACGGGCTTGCGCAGGATCGCCATCTTATTGGTGCTGCTGGCACAGCCAATGACGATGTGGTCGCTGCACAGAGTCCTCAGCAGCTGCAGGAGACTGGTCTTCCCAAAAAACTCCGGATCCAGCTGCCGCCCGGTCTCCTCCTGCAAGCAGACGTCGGAGATTCGGGGTCCAAGCGCCAGGGTGTGAGGCCATGCTTTGCGCAGGCTGATGATGTCACTTTTCAACGTTGTGCTGCCCCAGCTTGGCTCGGCCACGTCTGCTGCGGGGCATCCTGGCAACGAACTGAACGCCCAGCGCAGACGGCGCGAGCACACTTTCCCTTACACAGATGGTGCTGCACGCCCCCCTTGCGTGCACTCGCTGTCAGTACTCTTGCCGCCCATACACACACGAAACGCGCAAGCGGACGGGAGCTAGCATGCGCATCCCCTGGCCAGCAAAATGACTGTTCGTTTGTGGTTGGAGCGCACCTGGAAACCCGGCACGACCTCATCCAACCACATGTGCACCGGTGGAGCCCCAGGCCTCTTGGCCGCCGCAGCCGCCTCGCGCTCGCGCTTGGCGAGGCGCAGCATGATGAAGCTTTTGATGAGCTGCATGCCATGCAGCGGGTTGTTGGGCTGCATTTTGGGTTTGGGCAGGGCAGAGAGGGCCGGGTTGTGCATCAGGTGAGGCAGCGGCCCGGAAGTTGAAAGCAGACGAAGAGGTGTTTGCTGCTCGATCGGCATGGCCGTGATGCGGACTGGGCTTGCACAGGCATGACAACTAGACCTGAAACAGCGCTGGGTGAGGGGACGCTGGCCCCGTTCCTGTGATGTCAATGCCATGGCCTGAAAAGCTCAGTGAGGATCCCCAACTACCTGGGGCAGCTGACGGTCGATCTGGTCTCGCCACGTGTCCAGCCCCTGATGCTGCCGCTGCTGCTGACCAGCGTCCTGCACCTGCACCTGCTGCTGGGGCCTCTGCTGCTGCAGCTCCTGCGGCTGCTGCAGATCGTGTGGCTGCTGCTGCTGCTGCTGCTGCTGCTGCTGCTGCTGTTGCGGCTGCTGCTTGTCGTGTTGGTGCTGCCGCTGCTGCTGCTGCTGCTGCTGCTGCTGCTGCTGTTGTGAGGGCTGTGTGTGCTGCTGCTGGTGCTGCGGGCTGAACAGCGCCGTGTGGGCCGCCTGCTGTCCTAGGCCAGGAAGCGCTAGGCCTGGAGGCATGTGGCCCTGAGACGCCAGGCCAGGGGGCATCAGGCCCTCAGAGTGCGCAGGGCGGTGGTGGCCCAGTGCCGTGGAGGCAGCGCAGCCGATTGGCTGCAACTGAAACTGGGCGCGCGGCACCGCGGCGCTGGGCCCCAGGACGCTGGGCCCCGTCTGCGGCGCCGCTGGGGCCCCGTGAGTGAATTGCGGCATGTGCCCAGATCCACTCGGCATGTACGCAGGCCGGCCGACCTGCTGCGCAAACATGGGGCGCGTTGACTGGGGAGGAGCCCGATCGCACTGAGGTGTTGCGCCGCCCAGTGCTGCGCCGAATGGCAGGGGCAGTCCTTGTCCCGTCTGCCACGGCGCTTGATGATTGATAGGCGCTCCCCACATCCCTGGCGGCCTGCTAAGTCCTCCTCGTCCGGAAACCAGGGCAGTGTGGCGGGAACATCTAGGTGATCATACTTATGCGAGCCGACATCGATTGCCGATTATTGGAAGAACATTCGCCACGCGCATTTCCCAGCATACGGAGCGCCGCAAAGGGCCTGGCGACGTCGCGAGTTAGCTGCGCAAAGTGCCGAGCCTCTCGTTCCTTATGATGTACCTGCCCGATCGGATAATTGCATTGTCGCGAGCAACCGAGATTCAATAAATAGAGCTGCAAGTCACGGTGGCGAAGCTCGTAAGCCAGCATGAGCGCACCGCCCCTGGCGCCCCCCTTGCATACACCTGCTGCAGGTGCTGCTAGCCAGGGCAGCGTGCCCCTTTGGACGCAGCCTGCCGCGCAGGAGTCGATGGGCTCCCAGCACTCACAAGGAGATGGGGACGGTTGGGAACGAGCCCCGCTTGCTCAGCAGTGGCAACAAGAGCAGGCCGGGGGTTGGCGTGATCTTCCCTTTCAGCAGCAGCAGCAACAGCAGCAGCAGCAGTATTATGGCCGCAGCATGTACAGTGGCGGCCGCGGCGGCGGATGCGGCGCGAGTTTCGCTGGCGGCGGCGGCGGCCCTGGCCGAGGCGCGCCGTGGGGCGCCTTCGCTGCGGCCCGCGGCGGCGGCGGGCGCTGGGGCTACGGCGCGCCGCCGCCAGGCAGGGGCTACTATGGGGGCGGCGCCGGCGGAGGAGGATACCAGCAGGGGCCCCCAAACCGCAACGTAACGTGCTATGCGTGTGGCAACGTTGGTCACCTCTCGCGCGACTGCCCTGACGCCTCGGCCGGCGGGCCGCGGGGCTACAACGGCAGCAGTGGCCGCAACGGCAGCGGTCTCAACGGCGGCGGCAACTTCAATGGGGGCGGCTTCAACGGCGGCGGACGCGGCGCCGCGGGCAGCGGCGGCGGCCGCTTCGCACGGGGCGGCAGCCCGCAGCGAAACGGCAGGGGCGGCGGCAACGGCGGTCCGCCGCAGTGGCAGCGCGAGGGCGGGGGCTGGCTGGTCCCGCTGCCCGACAGCACAGAGCACGCCGTGCTCGCGGCTGCAAAGGCGCGGCAGTCCGGGCCTCGGACTGTCTGGGTCATGCGAGGACTGCCTGGCTCTGGCAAGTCCACGCGCGCGGCCGAGATCGCCGCCGCCGCCGCCGCCGAGGCCGCGGCCGGCCCCACGGGAGATGCGCACCAAGGAGACAAAGGCGGCCGCGGCGCTGGCGCCGCCGGCAAGGTGTGGGCGATCCACAGCACTGACTCGTATTTCGTGGAGGAGGGGTCTGGGCAGTACGTGTTTGACCCGTCACGGCTGTCGGAGCACCACGAGGCAAACTACTCGGCGTTCGAGGGGTCACTGGCGGCGGGGGTGGCGTGCGTCATCGTTGATAACACAAACCTGCAGGTGACGCGGGGCCCCGCGCGGCCGGCTCCGCCGCGGGCCCGGGCGGGGCGCGGCAAGCTGCGGCG